TGATCAATGTCTTGGAAACCATTTTGTTTATTTTGTCTATTTTGCCAGGTCTTTCAGGCAGGAGTGTAAATGAGTTCTATGTTATTCCATGGTGGCCAGAGTAGAAGCTCAGGATGCTGCTTTTTAAATGTTTCAAGAGGCTTTAATTTTAATTAGTGGAAACTATGGGCTATAATGTGCTTACTTTACTATGGCTGCCCCTATGAATATCAAATATATAAATATAAATATACCAGAAGGCTTCTAAGCTAGATTAAGGGCATCTTCAAAAATCTCACAGGGGACATCATGTTAAATATTTGAATCATTATAAGTATTTCCTTTACAATGAAGGAAAATAGAGGAGTGCTCACTATTGTTGCCTTTATTTAGTTGGTTAAAATTTATTTTAGCCAATGCAATGCAATAAGAAAAATTAGTAAAAGGTAATATTTGATGATTGAAAAGATGAGAACAAAGCATATTCATGAAATATCCACAGCTGATATCATTATCTATTTTTGAAATCCAAAAGATTTATAGATAAAATATTAGAATGATTGTAATGTAGCAAATTGGCTAGATTTAACATTGATATTTACAAAACGATGGATTTAGCTTAGTAAGCAATATCAGAAAATGTGGTACCCCAAAATTATTTTATAATACCTAGAGAAATATTTACCTAGGATTAAATGTAAAAATGAATTGTTAACCATTTATGGAGAAAATTATTTTGTTGAAGACATGAAAAGGAAACATAAATAAATGTCAAGATATACTAATGAGTAGGAAAACTCAAAATTAAAACAGTGTTTGGTAAAATATGGAAAAATATACCATTCGAACAGAGCAGAGAGAGTAGAGACAGACTCACAAATTATATGAAAATGTATTTGTATTAGTTTATGCTGTGGCATGAATCTTTGCATCCTCCACAATTCATATGTTTAAATCCTAATATCCATGATGATGGCATTATGAGATGGGGCTTTGGTGGGTGATTAGATCATGAGGGCTCTACATCGTGTATTTTGTTACAAAATCCAGACTAGACAGTCTCAGGAGTAATAAAGTACCACAGACTGTATGGCTTAAACAACAAAAATGCATTGTCTCATGGTTCTGGAGGTTCCAAGTCCAAGGTCAAGATGTCAGGAGAGTTGGTGACCTGTTAGGGCTGTGAGGGAAAGATCTGTTCCAGGACTCTCTCCTTGGCTTGTAGTTGGCCATGTTTTTCCTATGGCTCCTTACATCATCTTGCCTCTATGTGTCTCTGTCTCTATGTCTAAATTTCCCCCTTGTTAAGGAAATTAGGGGTATTGGATTAGAGGCCCATCCTGCTGCAGTGTGACCTCACCTTAACTAAGTATATTAACAAGAACTGTATAGCCAAATAAGGCCACATTTTGAGGTAGTAGGGGTTAGGATTATAACATGTGAATTTTGAGGGGACACAGTTCAACCTGTAACAGTCTTATGTGACAAAACTGGCAGTACAGATCAGTAAAGAAAGAATGAACAACGCAGTCAGTATTGCTGTAGTAATTGGTTATCCACATGCAAAAAATAGAAAGTGATACTTACTTCAAGCTATATACAAAAAATAATTCCAGATTAAAAACTTGAATGGTAAAAGCAAACCTTTACAATTTTTAGAAAAAAAAATATATCTTATGAAAGGTGTTCTAATAACATAAAAAGATTAGTAAATTTGACAACCTTAAAATTAACAACTCCTGTTTTTTATGACACCTGAGAATGAAAAATCAAGAAGAAACTCAGAATATGTTTAACACAAATGATGAATAAGCAATTTGTGTCTACAATATTTAAAGTACTTCTAGAATCAATAATAAAAAGAAAAATAATCCAGTAGAGAAATGAACAAAAGACATAAATAAGCATTGTAGAGACTGAAGTGTGAAAAAGGATTCAATCCCTTTAGTAACTAGGAAACTACTGTTTAAACCCTCAGTAAGATGATATTCACACCAACAACATTGGAAAGCATTAAAATATGGATAATACCAAGCTTTGATAAAGACATAGAATAATGAGAACTCTCATTTCTCACTTGTGGGAGTGCAAGGTAGAACAACATTGTAAAATAATATGGCAATATATATTAAACCATTTTGTAAAATAATATGGCAATATATATTATAATAAAGGGGATTACACAGTTTCTCTTCTTGCTCTCCTATTGCCTCATGTTTTCAAATACTTATGGCTTAAATCTATTTCTGAAGTTGAGCAGTTCTATTTCTAAGTGTATTGAGAGACACCCTGGCACACATGCACCAGGAAACATATTTGAGAATATCATAGCAAAACTTTCCACTGCTTTTAGTAGAAAAACCCCAGAAATAACAGAAATGTGCATAAACAGTTGATTTCTTCAGTGAATTCTCTCTAAATGTAAAGGTTGATACAACTAGGATGAACCTCAAAAAAAGTGGTGCAAATCACAGAACACATTCAGCTGGATGTGTTTATATAAAATCAAAACAAGCAAAATGAAACAATGTATACCCCTTATCTCTTATATGCTGTGTTTTTAAGAAACTATAAACATATTAGTTGGTGACACCTTATGTTTCATATCATAAACATCCATGTATCTCCTTCCCAACTTAAAAAGTAACACACTAAAAATTATTAGAGGCATAGTGTGTCTCTCCTTCATCTTATCTCCCTTTCTCATTCTTATGGATAACCACTAAATCTGAATTTGTTTTAAAACTATCATTGTCTTACACTTATTTAGGGATGTGTGGTGTTCATGCCAAGGGCTTGAGACAGTAGCTTGACTCGCCCCATCCTGGCTGCTGGACCTGTCTGCACTTCCCCATCTCGAGGGCTGTCAAGCTGAGACAAAGGCCGCGGGCTAAGTCAAGGAAGCAAAAACAGAATGCAAAGCAAAGGTCTGTGGTTTATGAGGGCATTGTGTTGTCTGTTTTTATGTCTCCATCAGTCTCTGTGTAAGCAATAAACTTGCTGCAATTGAGATGCCTAAGAGGGACAAGAGACCCCTGCCCATATTTTCCCTGGAGCTAAGCCTTTGATCTAAACTCCTGTTGGAAAACAGGTTTGACAAGCCACCTTAAAGGGGCCATTGTTTGTTTGCACTGTGTGTCTTTGAAAAACAAACTGCTTTGTAAACTACTATCACAAGCCCCCTTAAACTGAGCGGTTATCACAAGCCCCTGATAACTATTTTTTATGGAGTTTCTATTTCCTTTCTGTTTACCCCTTTTCTGCTGAGATAAAGTAAATGTAAACAAGAAAAAAGGTATAAAAGCTGTAACCCACAAGAATAAAATTGCTGCGTTTTAACCATAATTTACGCAGACCTCCAGACTCTACTTTTCTATTTCTTTTCACTTCCGCACACTCTCTCCCTCAGGTTGAACAAGACATCTACGTTGGCGGTCTCGGGGACTCCCGCAGGTCGGTAGCCACCCGGCAGATGTGCCGGACCCCGACATAGGGGCATAAACGTATATATAGTAAAAGCTGAGGACTATTCACAGGATACTAGCTTGGGTCCTCAAATGGGTAGTGACACCATTATCAGATTCAGGAACACAGGAAGAGGGACACAATAAAATTTGTAACTCTGGTTTTGAAGGGATTAACAGTGAAATGTCTCTGATATATCCAAGAGTAGATGTCAAAGAGGCAACAAAATATTAATATCTGGAACTTAGATGAGAGGTCAGTGTTACAGAGATAGATTTGGGCAATAAATATTTGAAAACATGAGGTGATAGGAGAGCACCAAGACAAAAAGGAAATCACTGTTCCTAAAAGCTAGGCTTATTCCCTTGCACCTACCTACTAAATGATCCAAGCCCAGCTGTCCCTCCTGATTTTACTCTCCAGGCTTATTCCTCTATTAGATCCAGTACTTCAGGCTTCATAACGATTTCCTTCTAAGTTGTGTTGACTCCTGTCCTATAATATTTTTTACATATAATATTTTTCACCAAAATATATTTTCTTAGTACTATCAAAACCATTGACAGAACAGCAACTAAACAGATTTTTAATGGGAATTTTTGAAAGGTGATGTTTGAAATATCCAAAAGATAAATTAAGTCCAACTTTACTAGTAAGTGAATAAATGTGCATTCTAAAAACATTCAAATTAGATAGAATTTCATCTATCAATTGATAAATATTTAAAATGGAAACACTCAAATCATTTTAAGGAATCAATCACAGGATTGAGGTTGGTCTCCTTGAGCAGCTGGAGAGAAGGGACAGGGTGAATTGATACAATTCTCTGGGAGACGGAATATATGTTGCAAAATATTTTTATATCCTTAGCTGTAGTATTTCCACTGCTGGGAATATGACCTAGGGAAATATTCAGATGTGCAGACAAAAAAAAATCATATTTGTAGAAAGTTTTGTCATAGTTCGACTAAAACCTAGAAATAATCTAAATATTCCGCACTGAAAGAATGGATTACAAATTATTATACAGTGAAATATTCTATAGCCCCTCAATTTGTGATTTTAAAGGTTGCTTAATGACACAAAGTAGTGACAGATTGCTTAATGAAAAATAAACTCATACACAACATAGTATTTAAGAAACATAAGATTTAGATCTGCATATGAACCAATATAGGGCCATTTCTGATCCATTTCTAGTTAGGTATAAAGTAGGAGTCCAACTTATTTCTTTGCATCTGGATATCCAGTTATTCTAGCACCATTTGTTACAAAGATGATTACTTCCCCCCATTAAATGGTCTTAGAACCATTGTGGAAAATCAGAGTTCTACTTTTCAAACCGATAAACAAAATCAAGGTATACAGGGGAAAAAATAAAAATAAAATGTAGAATGAGTATCTCTGGTAATAGGACAGTGATTGATTTTTTTCTTCATTATTTGTTAACCATTATATTATCCAATTCTTATTAATAATATCTATCAGTTCTATCATTAGAAAAAATATGAAACATTATTAAAGGTGATTAATCTCTTTAATCTTTTCTTTTTAAGGATACTTTTATAAAGCAGACATGTGCTGACACACCTGTTGATCATTGTCTATCTGGCATAAGAGAGTGTAGCAGCACCTTTAAGCTTAAAAGTGAAGTCAACAAGCATGAAACAGCCCTGGAAATTCAGAATCCAAATTTGAACAATAGAGAATGTTGTTTCACCTTCACTTTGAATGAAAACTCCAGAAAATTAGACCATAGTGTGTTTACAGCATATGGTAAAGCCAGTGAGAGTATCAACTCAGCTCTGAGTGCTAATGAGCATTTCAGGGAAAGGATGAAGAATCATTGTAATAAGAACATTATTGTTTATGAAGAAAAAAACAATAGATGGACATATAAGTTTAGGAATGCCTCTCAAGCGCCTGCCTATTGATTCTCATTTTAAAATTACAATTGGTAAAACAAAGAGTAGTGAAGAAGGTGAACACAGATTACATCAATGTGAAAATCCAAACATGGAATTCATTCTTTTTTATGTTGTTGCTATTGGAAGGACAATAAAGAAGATTGTTAAGATCAAGGAACTTCATGAAAAAGGAAGTAAACTTTGTATTTATGCCTTAAAGGGTGAGACTATTCAAGAAGCCTTATGCAAGAATGGCCAATTTCAGTCTGACATAGATGAATTTAAATGGAAACTAATGGAAGATCATAAGAAAATTTATGGAAAACAGTCCATTATGGATGAACTATCTGGAAAAGTCTTAGAAATGGACATTTCAAAAAAAGAAACATTACAAAAGAAAGGCATCCATAAAAAAATTAAACAGAATGAAAATGCCACTGATGAAATTAATCACCAGAGTCTGGTCCACAAACAAGAGAAAGATGGAGAGACTGAAGATGTAGAACAGAGCAGAGAGAAAATTCTCCCACCTCAGAATCTAGGGCATGATATTAAAGGTAAAACTCACCAGACAATTCCCAGGAGTAGAATGTATTACATTTATTGTTTGGGCAGAAAATATAGGAAAATAACCTCACAAGTTAAGCAGAGGCTGCATCTGGGTAGGCAGTATGCTATTGATCAGGATGTCCAAAAGGAGGCAACTAACCTCTTAAAGAATTTGCAAATGTTGAATGAAACCATAATGCCTCAGTATCCAAATTTTAAAGAGAAGGCACAGTGGGTGAGAAAATATTTTCAGGACAAATGGAAGAGAATGGATCTTTCACCATTTAAGCAATTCAACATATATAAAAAGTTCTTTGGAAAAATTACTGCAAACTCTATTTCAATTGCAACCTGTGAACAACTTACTTAGCAAGTCAGTTGGGTTCCTGGAATGGGACAATAATAGAAACACAGGCAATGCTACTTGCTTTGTCTTCAATGGTGGTTATATTTTCACCTGTTAACATGTTGTACTTATGGTGGGTAGAAACACAGATCAATGTTTGTGGCCACACATAATTAGCCAATATGCAAAGGTAACCTTCACTTACAAAGAATTCAGCCCTACTGGTGACAACTGGTTTTTTATTGAGCCATCGCTTAAAGTGTCCAATGAAATTCTAGATTATGCAATTTTAAAACTAAATGAAAATGGAAATGCATTTCCTCCAGGCCTATGGTGACAAATTTCTCCTCAGCCATCTACTGGTTTGATTTATTTAATTGGTCATCCCAAAGGCCAGATCAAGAAAATAGATGGTTGTGCTGTGATTCCTGTAAATGAACGATTGGAAAAAGATCCAAATCATTGTCAAGAGGGGTTGGTAGATCTCCATGGTACCAACAGTAATGTATGCCCTATGTTTACCCAAAGAAGTTTCCTATCAGAGGTTTGGAACACACAAATGCTTAGTCATGATACTTGTTTCTCTGGTGGATCCTCAGGCTCCACAGTGTTCAATGCATCTGGAAAATTAGTTGCTTTGCATACCATTGGGCATTTTTATAAACATGGATATAATGTGTATGCCCTTATTGAATTTGGTTATTCTATGGATTCTATTCTTTGTGATATTCAAGAGACAAATGAGAGCTTGTATAATTTATTAAACAATGAGAAACTTGAGACTTACAATGAAGAGAAAAATAAACAAGAATCATCACTTCAATATCATCAGATTGAACCCATGGAATGTTAGAAAAACAATGCTGTCTTCAAGAAAATATGCCAATAATTTTTGGCAAAGATTTCATGACAAAGGCACCTAAAGCAATTTCAACAAAACTAACATTTGGCAAATGATAGAGAATTAAAGCTACTGCAAAGCAAAAGAAACCATCAACGGGTAACCACACAACTTACAGTATGAGAGAAAACATTTGTGAACTAAGCATCCAGTAAAGATCTAATATTCAGAATCCATTAGGAACTTAAATAGATTCACAAGCAAAAAACAAGCAACCTCATTGAAAAGTGGGTAAAGGACACGAACAGACACTTTTCAAAAGAGGACATACATGTGGCCAACAAATATATGAAAAAATACCAAATATCATTAGTCATTAGAGAAATGCAATCTGGCAAAATGTCATCACACTAATCAGAATGGCTGTTATTAACATGTCAAAAAATAACAGATGCTGGCATGGTTGCAGAGAAAGAGGAATGCTTACACACTGCTGGTGGAAATGTAAATCATTTCAGCTATTGTAGAAAGCAGTTTTATGATTTCTCAAGGAACTTAAAATAGCTACCATTCAACTCAGCAGTCTCATTCCTGAGTATACAACCAAAGGCATATAAAGTGTTCTACCTTAAAGACACATGCACATATATGTTCATTGCAGCACTGTTCACAATAGCAAAGACATGGAATCAACCTAAATGCCCATCAGTGGTAGACAGGATAAAGAAAATGTGACACATATACACCATAGCATACTACACTAGCTAGAGCAATCAAGCAAGAAAAAGAAATAAAGGGTATTCAATTAGGAAAGGAGAAAATCAAACTGTCTCTATTTGCAGATGACATGATTGTATATCTAGAAGACCCCATCATCTCAGCCCAAAATCTTCTCAAACTGATAAGCAACTTCAGCAAACTCTCAGGATACAAAAATCACAAGCATTCCTATATACCAATAAAAGACAAACAGAGCCAAATCAAGAGCGAACTCCCATTCACAATTGCTCCAAAGAGAATAAAATACCTAGGAACAGAACTAACAAAGGATGTAAAGGAACTCTTTAAGGAGAACTACAAACCACTGCTCAATGAAATAAGAGAGGACACAAACAGATGGAAAAACATTTTGTGATTATGGTTAGGAAGAATTAATATCATGAAAATGGCCATACTGCCCAAAGTAATTTATAGATATAATGCTATCCCCATCAAACTACCAATCACCTTCTTCACCTGGAAAAAACCACTTTAAACTTCATATGAAATCACAAGAGAGCCCTCATAGCCAAGACAATCCTAAGTAAAAAGAACAAAGCTGGAGGCATCATACTGCTGGACTTCAAACTATACTACAAGGCTACAGTAATCAAAACAGCATGGTACTGGTATCAAAATAGAGACATAGACCAATGGAACAGAACAGAGACCCCAGAAGAAACACCACACATCTATAACCATCTGATCTTTAACAAACCCAGCAAAAACAAGCAATGGGGAAAGGACTCCATGTTTCATAAATGGTGTTGGGAAAACTGGCTAGCAATATGCAGAAAGCAGAAACTGGACCCCTTCCTGACACCTTACACTAAAATTAAACTCCAGATGGATTAAAGATTTAAACATAAGACCTAACCCCATAAAAACACTAGAAGAAAACATATGCAAAACCATCCTGGACATAGGCATAGACAAGGACTTCATGACTAAAACACCAAAAGCAATGGCAGTAAAAGCCAAGATAGACAAATGGGATCTAATTAAAATTTAGAGCTTCTGTACAGCAACAGAAACCATCATTAGAGTGAATCGGCAACCAACAGAATGGGAAAAAAAATTCTGCAAACTACTCATCTGATAAAGGGCTAATATCCAGAATATACAAAGAACTAAAACAGACATACAAGAAAAAAAACAAACCCATTCAAAAGTGGGAGAAGGACATGAACAGACACTTTTCAAAAGAAGACATATTTGAGGTCAAGAAACATGAAAAAATGCTCATCATCACTGGTCATTAGAGTAATGCAAATCAAAACCACACTGAGATATCATTTTATGCTAGTTAGAATGGCAATCATTAAAAAACCTGGAGACAACAGATGCTGGAGAGGATGTGGAGAAATAGGAACACTCTTACACAGTTTGTGGGAGTGTAAATTAGTTCAGCCATTGTGGAAAACAGTGTGGTGATTTCTCAAGGGTCTAGAAATAGAAATTCCTTTTGATCCAGCAATCCCATTACTGGGTATATACCCAAAGAAATATAAATTGTTCTACTATAAAGACACATGCACACGTATGTTTATTGCAGCCCCGTGTACAATAGCAAAGACCTGGAACCAACCCAAATGTCCATCAATAATAGACTGAACAAAGAAAATGTGGTACATATACAGCATGGAATACTACACAGCCATAAAAAACAATGAGTTTGTGTCCTTTGTAAGGATGTGGATGAATCTGGAAACCATCATTCTCAGCAAACTGACACAAGAATGGAAAACCAAATACCATATGTTCTCATTCATAGGTGGATGTTGAACAACAAGAACAGGTGGACTCAGAGAGAGGAGCATCACACACTGGGAGCAGTTGGGAGGGGTAGGGGAGAGAGCAGGGGGTGAGGAGGGAGGGTAGGGTGGGGTGGGATAACATGGGGAGAAATTACACATATAGTATGCACCTAAAGTAAAATAAATTTTTTTTAAAAAATGACAAGATCATGCCCTTTACAGCAACATGGATGGAGCTGGAGGCCATTATCCTAAGTGAACTAATACAGGAACAGAAAGCCAAGTAGTACATGCTCTCTCATGTGTGGAAGCTAAATATTGAGTACACATGGACACAAAGAAGAGAACAACAGATATAGGACCTACTTGAGGGTGGAGGATGGGAGGAGGGTGAAGAATTAAAAACTACCTGTGGGGTACTATGCTTATTATCTGGATGATGAAATAATCTGAACACCAAACCCTGGTGACATGCAATTTACCTTTATAACAAAATTGCACATGGACTTTTGAACCTAAATAAAAGTTAAAATTATATATATATATATATATATATATATATATATATATATATATATATATATAAAATGCCAATAATTGAGAGCATTGAGGGCTGTTTTCTTTAATGAAATTTCCTGATTAGAAAACTGTTAGATAATTATGTGGATGTGCAAAACATGTACTAGAGCTCAAATACTGATTTTATCTCAGCTTTTAAAAATTTTTAAACAAATCTCATGCCTCACTTCAAATGGTTAGCTCACTTTTACACTTAAAAATAATTTGTTATTTGTCATTCTAAATGCCTAGGATAGTATACCTTCATTACTGACAAGGCAGTTCTTGTTCTCTGCCTAACTAGATAGTGGTAAATACACTGTTAAAAAGGGAAAAATATGTATAGTTCCTCTACAACTCAAAATTATTCAGTAAATATAATTTATTTCCTTCCATGCTGCCTGTGATATCAACCTCCATTGCAAATGGCAGTAGAAAATTCCAGTTTTTCAGTTCTTTCCTCTAATTGAGGAATAGCTAACACTTTTCTAGTAGATGTGAAGAGTAGCTTGCTCAGTCTTCATCCCCATCCTCTTATGTTCAGATTCCAGAGAGCTAGAAGCTATATATTTTAGACTGATTTGCAACTAAGATTCTGAATACAAATGAGGTTCCTCCAAATAGATACTATTTGTAAGATAAAAGTAAAATGGGGGTCCTCTTTCTTCCACTCTGGCAAGCTGGGTCATAGAAAAGTGAATGTCTAGAGATAGTAATGCTGCTGACTACAGGGTCAGTGTCTAGTCACCAGTTTCATGGACATCCACAAGCAGTTTCAGCAGTAGCAACAACCAGAATCAGTGTTGCATTGTCTAGTCATTGACTTTGATGGAGTGGAAAGGTGTTTCTGATGGTAATGATTTCCTAATTCAGTTTCCTGATTTCTGGATTGCAGGTAAGAGAGATGTGTTTGTGAACTTAATAATTCCAGTGTTGGCCTCCTGATTCTCACTGCTGTTATCATCCTAAAGAGTCCCAGCACTTGATCTTTGTATTAAATCTCTTTAACCTGCACTCAACCCTGACTGTATACATTCCTTTACAAATTGCAATTGGTTGGACTTTCCAAGTATGTGATAGTCTCAGTTGTGCAAAACCTTAAATCTGACCTACAGAAATTGTTCATTCATCAATGCTAATCTTTGTTCAAAAAAATACTGAATTTCAGGACAAACAAATCAGGAACTTAAGCAAGAGAGAAGTTTATTTTTCATATAATAGTCCAAATGCACTGTTGTGGTCATGGGAGTTCCAACCTGTAAGATATTATTTCTCCAATGAGGCTATATATACTTAGACTTCAACATGCAACATGGCCAAAACGGCTGCTAAACTAGCCAACATGCTTGCACTACAGCCAGGAGTAATTAAGAAGAAGGAGAAAGCACCTCTTCCTATTAAAAACACCATCTGAAAACTGCATATACCATGGCTGGTCTCACCCAGTGTTCACAGCTCAGTTACATGGCTCACTTCACTGGAAAGGAGGCGGTGGAATGTAATGTTTATTCCATACGACCAGATGCCTAGCCTAAATTCTATAACTGGAATAAGGGGAAAACGGACATTGGGCGAACTCATAGTCTCCTAAGAGAAGTAATCAGGAGTTACTGACCACCCATCTCACCCCTCTAGTACACATATGTTCTTTCCTTTCCACATATGAAGTGTACTTACCCGCTTCCCAAGATGATCCAGATTTTCTAGTCAATGTGTATTGTTCTTCAGGACATCCGAATGAGGCTTCCCGTGGTACAAGGACTTAACTCCATTCCCCCTGCACCACCCACATACCCAATATATTATAGTGGAGTATGGACATAATCCAATAAATTTTCATTCAGAAAAAGGAGAAATGGGAAATATAGCAGCCACAATCCTATAGCAATGACCAAATTCTGTTGTGCAGGAATTTACAGGATGTCCAGCTCTGGCAGGGGAGTACAATTTTTGGTTAGCTCATACTGAACTCCTGATTACTTCTCTTTGGAGTTGGAATGTCCTTGGCCATTGTCCCTCATGGCCTCAGACTTTGTCCTGCAGGGTGTTCTCTTGTGTCTGTTTATAGTGGCCATTTATTTTTGTCTAGTTATATTGATCTAGTATTTATGTGCAGGAAAACTCACTCTTTTAATGTACAGGTCAATGAATTCTGACACAGACATACAATTGAGTAATTACTACTACAGTCAAAAAATAGTACTTTTTATAAAATAAAACTACAGTCCTGTCAACATCCTTACAACACTTCAGTGGTTATCTTTCCCTAACTTCTATTATTTGTTCACTTTTGTTTTACATATGAATTGTTCAAGTCAGAATCAAAAAAAGCCTATATATTTGGTTGTGTGAGTCTCCAAAGTCACGATTTAATGTGTATATTTCCCCTTTTTATTTTTTCTAATATTTGCTTATTGAAGAAAGTCATGCTTTCTCTGTGAAGTGTTCCACATTCTTCACTTTACCATTTATTTATGTGATGTCCATTTAATGTGCGGCTGTAGACCCAGTATTTCTTGTAAACTGGTAGTTAGAGCTAGAGGTTTAATAATATTTAGTTTTTACTTTTTCCCAAGAAAACTTCCTGGGGGATGCCAAGGAATTTCCATCCTCCTACTTGGCATTTACTGTGGGCCAGTATCTGATTCGTATTTGCATGAGCATTATGAAATTTATTATAAATACTACTGGCTTCCCAGGACTGAGTGTTAAATACAGAATCTTTGGAGAATGCACCACTTCAAAAACTAAACCAAAGTAGTGTTCTGTCTTCTTTTATTAAGAAATTTTAAAATCAATTCCAACACAGTTTTTGATGACAGAGTTTAGTAATTTCTGACAATGATCTCTACATACAATTTGTCTTTTCCACCTAAACTTGTAACCAGCCTTGTGATGGGAGAGGCTACCACTAAGGTCTCTGATATGCCCTGGAGACATTTTCCCCATTATCTTGGCAATTATCATTTGGCTCCTCATTACTTATGAAAATTTCTGTAGCCAGTTTGAGTTTCTTCCCAGAAAATGGGTGTTTCTTTTCCATCATAGGATCAGGCTGCAAATTTTCCAGACTTTTACATTCCCCTTCCTTTTACACACAAGTTCCAATTTCAGATCATCTCTCCCAAGTTCTGATGTAGTTTGATGGTGTCCTAACCCAAATCTCATCTTAAACTATAGCTCTCATAATCCCCACATGTCTTGGGAGAGACCAAGTGGGAGGTAATTGAATCATGGGGGGGTGGGGTTTTCCCATGCTGTTCTCATGATTGTGAATAAGTCTCACAAGATCTGATACTTTTATAAAGAAAAGTTCCCCTGCACATGCTCCCTCTTGCCTGCTGCCATGTAAGATGTGGCTTTGCATCTCCTACATTTTCTACCATGATTATGAGGCCTCCCCTAGTATATGGAACTCTGAGTCCATTAAACCCTTTTTCTTTATAAATTACCCATTCTTGGGTATTTCTTCATAGCAGTATGAAAATTGACTAATACATTAAATTAGCATCATAGAGTGGAGTGCTGCTGAAACATACCTGAAAACGTGGAAGCAACTTTGGAACTGGGTAACAGGCAGAAGTTACAAAAAATTAGAGGGCTCAGAAAAGATAGAAAATTGTAGGAAAGTTTGGAACTTCATAGAGACTTGTTGAATGACTTTGCCCAAAATGCCAATAGTGATATGGACAGTGAATTCCAGGCTAAGGTGGTCTCAGATGGAGATGACAAACTTATTGGACACTGGGGCAAAAGTCATTCTTGCCATGCTGTAGCAGAGACTGGTCGCATTTTGCCCCTGCCCTAGAGATCTGTGGAACTTTGAACTTGAAAGAGATGATTTAGGGTATCTGGTAGAAGAAATTTCTTAGCAGCAAAGCATTCAAGATGTGGCTTAGGTACTTTTAAAATCATTCCATTTTAGTCATTCACAGAGATACAATTTGGAATTGGAACTTAGGTTTAAAAGGGAAGCAGAGCATAAAAGTTAAGAAAATTTACAGGCTGGTAATGTGATAGAAAATAAAACCTCATTTTCTGAAGATAAATTCAAGCCAGCCACAGAAATTTGCATAAGTAATAAGGAGGCAAATGTTCATCACCAAGACAATAGAGAAAATGTCTCCAGAGCATGCCAGAGGTCTTCACTGCATAGCCTCCCATCACAGGCCCAGAGGCCTAGAAGGAAAAAAATGGTTTCATGGGCTGAACCCCAGGCCTTCCCACTTTGTGCAGTCTTGGGGCTTGGTGCCCTGTGTCCCAGCTGTGGCTAAAAAGGGTCAAGTTATAGCTCAGACAGTTGATTCAGATGGTGCAAGCCCCAAACCTTGGTGGCTTGCACATGCTATTGGGACTGCAGGTGCACAGAAGTGAAGAATTGAGGTTTGGGAACCTCACCTAGATTTCACAGGATGTATGGAATTCCTTGATGTTCAAACAGACGTTTGCTGCGGGGATGGAGCCCTCGTGGAGAACCTCTGCTAAGGCAGTACAGAAGGGAAATGCAGGGTGGCAGCCAACAGAGAAAGTCCCCCCGAGACACTGCCTAGTGTAACAGTGCAAAGAGAGCCACAGTCCTCCAGATGCTAGAATGGTAAATCCACCAACAGCTTAGACTATGCTCCTAGAAAAGTGGTAGACACTCCATGCCAGTCTGTGAAAGCAGCCAGGAAGGGAATCTTACCCTACAAACCAACAGGGGCAGAGTTGCCCAAGATCATGGGAACACACCTCTGGCATCAGTGTAACCTGGATGTGATACATGGAGTCAAAGCTCATTTTGGAGCTTTAACTTTTAACTGCCCCTGTGGATTTTGGATCTTCATGGGGCCTGTAGCCCCTTCGTTTTGGCCAATTTATCCCATTTGGAATGGGTGTATTTACCCAAAGCTTGTACCCCCATTGTATCCAGGAAGTCACTGACTTTCTTTTGATATTACAGCTTATAGAT